GTTAATTATAATTGTTTGTAATCATTTAATGAACTAGTTAATTAGTATAATTAACAAAGTCCATATTGATTTGTGTAAGGATAACATAAAAAATAAGTCAATACTCTAGTCTCGAGTAGATTGTCTCATGGTTCAAAGGTTGTCTTTCACTTTAAATTTCTCGTAATCGTTTATCTAAAACCGTTCGGAGATACTTGTAGAAAGCATTCTAATGTCAAAGTCAACTCAAAGTTTCACAGTTTAGATGATTCAATAAAAACAATCACCTACATTCTTATTTTAAACTTAAACATACATTTATAGATTTTAGAAAGAACTTATAACCACAATAATCCATTTATACTTTTTGTTAATTATATTTTATCTTAAAGATATTTAACATTAGAGTTAATTGACTGTAACTGATTCGAAAGTCATACCCTACAATAAATATATATTAGAAAATAAACTAAGCCCAACTTCCAGTGTCTATTTATACTTCATCGTTTTAGTAGGCTGAGGTTCGTTTACCCTCAAGTTAAAATAACTTGTGTTACATAACTTTTACACATAAAGTAAAGTGTAATAATAATACAATAAAGACAAATGAGTAGATAAACAATAGTTGCCAGTGGTTCTTGACATGTAAATGTAGAACGACACGATATTTTTATCATCCTGTAATGTTTTAACTTTGATATGGAATGAAAAAGAAAAATAAAACTTTATGAAATGCCAAATAAAGTTGGGTGCCGTAAAAGGAGAAAAAGTTGAGACTGTTTGTCCTTTCACCAAAATCGAAGCAGAAGCAAACGCAGCAGTGCAATAGGATGAGAGAAAAAGATACGCCTTAATATTGTCTGGACAGCAAAAATACCCTAAATTCCTTTCAATTTTTATAAGATAAAGTTACTTTTACGACATTTTTCTAACAACATATTTTTTTATTAGTTTAAAATTATTATACAATTAATAATAACAATATAAACAAATTAAAACAGAAAAATAATGTTAAAATAATATTGTCAAACTATCATTATTTTTTATAATAATTTTCTTCTTTTTTAATTTAAATTTCATAATGGGCTGAACAAATCAAACCAAAGCAAATATAATTTAAATGACTTTGTTCTTAAAATCGTTTTATATTCCTAATAAAAAAGGCATGCATTTCAATATAAAATTAAGTTTGTGATCTTGGTTTTGTTCTCATTATCTATTGATTTTGTTAATTAAATTTGGTGGATATTTTAGTGTGATCTTTCTTTTTTAACATAGCTTTTTTTTTATTCATAAAACTAACGTCTGGAACTTTCATCTTCATATTCGAATTCCGTTTAAGGTTTATATAATATTGAAATGAGACAATTTTTTAGTATAAGACCATCCCTATTCTTTATCGACTTTAATCTTGTTTAAACCGATTAAGATCATTATAAATAATACAACTTTCTCTTGAAATCTTGTCTGATATATTTTTTCTTTATTATATACTATTTTATGTTATATTAAATTTTATTATATTCTCAAAATTTGTGTCTATATAATTTTTTCAGTCAAATTTATCATAACTCGTAATATTTATGTCAGAGTCAAATTTTGTTGAAAATACGCCATCTTTTACTTCTATAATTAATGTATTATTATTCCAATAACATCATAATTATTTATTTAAATTTAATAGAAGAAACTTGTACTTGTTCCTGGAAGAAAAATATAACTAAACTAAAAATATCGAAAATAGTAAGATGAAATTGAGAATTATAATAATATTATTTAAATTTTAAAAAGTCCGATAGTATCGTTAAATTTAATTATTAATACTTATTTTGTTTTTAAAAATAGAGATAATGTATTTAAATTGTTATTTGTCACCGAAACAAGTATTAATCTAAATTTATCTTGAATTTTGAGAAGGAGAAAATAAATGGAGAATCTAAAATATGAGAATATTTGAATTTTAATGAGAAATATGACGTGGCAATACAGGAGCCTTGAAAATTTTGCTTGTGAAGATTATTTCCTGCCTCACATTTGGCAGGCTATGCAAACTCTGTACCAAATCGATGAGAGCCCTTCGTATTTTTGAAAAGCAAAACTCAAATTTGGTGAGAAACTAAAAGAGAAAGAGAAAAGGAACGCTATCTTGTTTTGGCATCTGAATTATTGCACTCTGCCACTGCCAACTTTTGTTGAATAATAAATGCGTGCTTCTTCGGATTTTTAATATTCTCTACGGTCCAACCTCAAAACTTGTCGTCACTCTCCCACTTGTACCTAAAATCACACAAAAACAAAACCAATTATATATTTTGTATATACTAGCTGTATTGCATTACTATAGTTTTCACACACGTCACAGTTACTTTTACCTACTTTTTAGGGAAAGAAACGGATCGATAAATAAATATTAATTTAATCAAATATCTTATGCCCTTGGATGAAGCCCAAGGGAGATATAAATTGTTTAAAAATAATGATATTTTGACAACATTTTTTTAGGTTTAATGTCTCAATAGGTTTCTATTTTTGTTCAGAATTTGACATAGGTCCCTTTATTTTTTGGCGTGTCAATTGGGTCCTTATTTTTGTTAATTTGATGCAAATAAATCCTTTCTGTCAATTTCATCGAACGGCGTTAATGAATGTGTCCTCAGGTCACGTCACACATTCATTAACGCCGTTTGATGAAATTGACGGAAATTATTTATTTGCATCAAATTAACAAAAATAAGGAACCAATTGAGACGCCAAACAATAAATGGACCTATTTCAAATTCGGAACAAAAATAGGACCTATTGAGACATTAAACCTTTTTTTTATAATATTTTAATATTATTTACGTGTTATTTTGTGATTGGTCCATGTTAGTATTTATGATTATTATTATTGATTGTAGAGTAATTTTGGATCAATTATAAAATGACATGTATATGATATTAAAATGTTATTAGAAAATATTGTTAAAATATCGTTGATGATTGTTTAAATGCATGTCTAGTTTATTAAATTAACCGTGAATTCACCATTTTTTTAATTTTGGTTTTCCTGATGAATAGACATAGGATTATTCTTTTTATGAATGTGATGAAAATGAGTTGGAGTGGGTAAGTAGTTATCCGTTTACTAATATGTCCCGTTTAAAAGAAAATTTGTTATTTATTTGAATATTCAATTATAACATATTTGTGAGTTATTTTATGTTTATATACAATATATTATTATACTAAAATTATTTAAAAAAATTAATTTAATAAAAATAAGATTGAATTATATTTAAATTTTATCTCTTAACATATAAATTAGAATTTATCTTGATAGAATTTATTATTGATTAAATTTATTGTTGAATTATTTATTTTAGATTTAATTTTATATTTGAGATATATATTTGATTTAAGAAAATATATTGAAAATTTAACATTAATTAAAATAATATTAATTTATAAAACATAAGTGGATGTAATTCATTGAGTTAGTGTTAAAGTTCAGTTCTTAATGTTATATTATTTATATCAAAATATCATTCTTTATTTAAAGTGTAAAAGATGTTGGATGAATAAGTCATATTCCATCGTTAACATATACATCTAATATAGAACTCATCACCTAACAAATATCTACTTGCACCAAAACATAAACAAAACTGTTTCAGTTTATTTTATAGTTTTGAAAACGAATAAAGTATATATTAATGGTTTGGATGGAGTGAGAGGGAAGATAAATTGTAAAATGGAAAGGATTACCTTTTTTTAAGGAAATTGATAATCATACACATTCACATAAAACCTTCCCAATTAGCATTGCAGCTGTCTTATTATTGCATATCATGATTTTATGGTTCTTTTTATTAAAAAGTAGATAACTAAGTCAATTTTAATTAACTATCATAAATTTTAAAATTATATTTAATATCGTTATTAGAGATGAAAATACACTAAATGCATTTTGGAATGGAATTTCCAGAATAAACTTTTCAAAATACATATAATTCCTTCTAAAATGAGTTTTATGAAATAATTTTATATGAAATATGTTTCAGGAAGAATTTTTCCAAACACAAATATATTTCGAAAAAAACTTTCGAAATTGCATTTTTATTTCTTTCTGCATCCTCTCCTCTTTTTCCTCTACAATAGTGGTATGGTGGAATGACAGTGAAGCAGTGCCAATTACATTGATGCTGTGGTGCAATGACAAAGTATATTGGAATCTTTTCCTATCAATGTGGAGGTGCAGTAAGTAATTATGGAAATGCAGTTAGCAATTTTGAAAGTGCAGTTAGCAATTTTGAAAGTGCAGTTAGCAATTTTGAAAGTACGGTTAGCAATTTTGAAAGTGCAGTTAGTAATTTTGAAAGTGCAGTTAGCAATTTTGAAACTGCAGTTAGTGATTACGGAAATGCAGGAAGCAATAGCCCAGTTATAGGTAAGCCATTAGAGCCCAATTGCACGGTTTTATTGGCTTTATTTTTGGTAGTTTTGATATCTTTTCATGTTAAATTCAATTGATTCGTTGAGAAATTCGGTTATAGATTATGGTTGTAGTTTTGTTTATGCTTCGGTCGTTATGAACAATAAGCAATTAAGGTGAAGATATTGTGAAATTATAACTAGAGTTTAGTCCAGAAATAATAACCCTAATTAAGAATCTCTTGAAGGTAGATGTGAATGGTTGTAAAAAGGTAGCAGAAACATCATCATTCAATCATTAGTATATATGGGACAGATCATGCCCAAAATCTCTAGAAGTGGATCTACATGATGATAAGATGATACCAAGTTACCAATTTCTTTTGGCATCCTATTGTTTCTGCATGCACCTATTTTTTAAAAGAAAATAGCTTTAGTTTTTGGAAATTAGTTTGGCATCAATTTTAAAACTGATTTTTTTTTTAAAATTGTTTTTAAATCCGAATAAATTCAAAATTAAAACATATTTTCTAAGTATATTACAAAACTATTTTAATTTAAAATTAAAAACCTTAATTCCCTTACTAATTAATACAGTTGTTATTCAAGTAACATCGTTAGCAGGAAGGAAATCCAAAAGAAATAAAAACTCTTAAGTACTCAAACATATCTGATAATACAGCTACATAAATAAATATTAGAATAAAAAGTTGATTGTGTTCATATGGCTCTAGGAGGTTTTTCCAGCAATGCAGAGAGATATATCTCATCCTTTGACTTTGGAGATACAACCCACTTGTGTTTCTTGTACCTTAATTGAAGAAACATGTACACATAGTTATCCAAATCCTTTCTGTTGCAGAAGAACCTGTCTATCCACAATAAACCTCCTGGTCTTAGAATTCTGTCCCAATCATACAATATAAAGTCCAACAGCAAAAGATCAATCCAACCATCCATAAAACCATGGCTGTGCACCAAGTCCATAGTGTTATCAAAGAATGGAAGCCTTTGGTTCAATGTGACATATAAAGGAACCAAACCCCTAAGAGCTATCATCTCACTGAAAGGAGCTCCAAGGTTGAGTGCAGTTGAGACAATTGTCACATTTTGCTCTCTCATTCTTGCTGCAAATGTGCCAGTGCCAATGCCATAGTCTAGTCCAATCCTAACCTCTCCTGGCTTGATTGCCAAAACTTCACTGATAAAAAAGTCTACAAGAACTGAACTTTTAGCCACCCATTTCAGCTTTTCCTTCTCCATTTCAAAGCATCCAATGCATTTTGAGTAACCCCTTTTTGGGTTCTTGCTAGATAAACACTCAAATTTTCTGCATTGGTAATTCCCCCACCTCACATTTCTTCCATCTGGAAGTCTCCACAGTGACTCATTAATAGGGTATGGCCTTTGGTATTCCTTTGAGGCTCTTGTCAAACACCTTCTTCTAGGCAAAGGATCACACCCATTAAGCATAAGCTTCTGAGCCAAATTCCAATCATCATCACAGTATGAGCCAATGTCATAGTCCATGTACTTCTCTAGCTCTTCCTTGTACAAAACACAGGCATGACCAATTGTGTTGTAAACCTTGTCTGTACCATACAGGTTCATCTTACCAACTCTGTTCTCCTTTGGGGTTATGTACTTTCTGATCTCCTCAGTGATGAAAAAGTTGATCAAAGGATCCTCCTTCACTGTGGAGTTCATACCTTCAACATTTGGAACCTGAATTTTCCTCAGAGCAACATTGGCAATATGAAGAGGCCTAACTATTTCATCCTCTAAAAACTTCTTCTCCAACAAGGTACTCTTGCTTTTCTCCATATCTTGCACTTTTGACTCAAGCTTTCCCTGCAAAGCTTCCAACATGTCTATCACTTCTCCAATTCTCCCAGAGAGTGATTTGACATCAAAGCCATCAGAAACTTCCCCCACATTGTAGAAATGCTGGCATATGTCTTCATTGTGGAGGAAAAACCCTGCAGAGTAGAATCTAGTGAGACTCAAAATGCTTACTAGTATGACCAACCCTCCCAAAATCATCTGTATCCAACCCATTATTCTGGCAAGCCTGCATTTGGGAAGACATGATCTCCCCATGATGAAAAATTGAAGGAAATGGAAAACTAATACAGGCACATCATAGCATAAAAGAAACACGAGCAGATGCTCTATAGCTAAAAAAAGAACACCACAACACAAGAGATGATGAACAATTTCTGTTTGAAAAGCTGCATTTGGCTATTCATTGAAAATAGAATAATGGTTACTTCCTCCCCAACATGTGATTCATGAACTTGACATATATTGTGGAATACTCAAAGTGGTAAACGGACTCCACTTGTCTATAAACTATGAACTTATAGCACATGATCCTTCTATGATCCAGATAAACAGGTGCAATTAAAATTGCTTCTAAACGTTCCGATCCCAGTTTTGTGGAGGGAAATCTTAGATTTGAAGATGCTGCTAGAGAACTGAAAGCATTTACAATGGGCCAGCACAATCCATAAGAATTTTAAATGATAATCAATAAATTATTATCCGAAAAATGATTGTTTGAAACATTAAATTTTATACATTCATTACTTTTCTTATTTTTTTTTATTCTGTTTTTTCTTAACAAAATAGGTTTAATCCTTTACTACATCCCTATTTATGTACGAATTTTCTCATTGGTGGGTCTCGTTTTTTAAGTGTATCAAAATGTCCCTAATTTTGAAAATTGATATCACTTGAGTCATTTCCGTTAAGTGGCTGGACGGCTTTAAAAAATGGATGAGTGGGAATGCCTGAGATGACAACTAGCGCTCGTACCCAGCGAACGAACCTCGTCCTCAGAGACGAACGCTCGTCGACCACCAAACGAACCGGTCGTCCATCCCGAACGAACGCTCGTCCCACCAACGAACGGTCCGTCCGTGTGGAAACGAACGTTGTCCATGCAGTAAGAGTCATCTCAGCATCACTCATCAATGTTTTTTAACGCCGTCCAGCACCCTTAACGGAAAGACTCAATGAGATCAATTTTCAAAATTAGGAACCATTTTGATACACTTTTAAAAAAGAGGACCCAATTGAGAAATTCGTACATAAATAGGGATGTAGTAAAGGATTAAACCAACAAAATACAATAATTTTGTACTTTTATAACTATTTTATTTTTATATTTTATGGCAAATAAAATGTAAAAATATATGATGGTACCGTTACTTTTATTATTCTTGTTGTTTGTAGGAACTTGTTGGTTAAGTTTGCATGTAAATAAAAAATGAATTGCATATCGACAAATAATTTTGGTGGAAATTGAATGGTTTCAAATTATAAAGTGAGAGAAGATTTGGATAAAGGCTTTCAAAATCGAAATTCACTATGCTAGAGCACAAAAAAAAAGTCAGCTTACAGACTCGACCTGTTGATAGAAGGTTTTTACCTTCACAGTTTTGGTAACACCAATTAGCAAACCTTCTAACCCTCATATAGATAACAAGAAGGCAGCTTTGTTCCGTGATCTTGACACAGATTAATAATCCTTGAACAGTGTGGCATATGTGTCCCAATTGTAGACATTCTGTATCTGCATACTGTTGCTAGATTTTGATTTATCTGCCTGACACGGAATATGTATGTTATCTGTGGTGCTGCAGTGGCCATGATCAGTTTAAGATCCAGACAAGAGAGTGGAGGATTAGAAGGTTTCATAATTGGTGTTCCCTTAACATTCGATTGATTTGTTTTACTGTCCTCTGCACTAAGAGAGGTAAGGAAGCTGAAGGTGACCATGACTATGTTTATTTTAATTTGAAAGATGATTTGTTAAACGAAAAGCATGTCTTATTTATGGTGGATTGGATGTTAAGCTGGTTGACATAATATTTTTTTTTCGATAAGCATCATTCCTGGGTGTTCATCTAATAGATGGTTGAACAAATAGTGATTCAAGGTTTGAAATGTGGCTGTCCCACCCCCTCTCATTGTCCATATGGACAAATAATTTGGTGGAAATTTAATAGTTTCAAATTATCAAAGAGAGAAGATTTGAATTAAGGCTTTCAAAATCGAAATTCACTTTCCAGAGGGGAAAAAAAAGGCAGCTTACATGTTGGACCTGTTGATAGAAGATTTTTACCATCACAGTTTGGGTAACACCAATTAGCAATCCTTCTAACCGACATAGAGATAACAAGAAGGCAACTTTGTTCATTGATCTTGACGGATTAATAATCCTTGAACAGTGTGGCATGTGTCTCAATTGCCAACACTATATCTGCCTACTTTTTCTAGAATTTAATTTTTCTGACTGGCACGTAATGTGGATGTTATCTGTGACGCTGCATTGGCCTTGATCAGTTCAAGATCCAGACAAGAGAGTTTAGGATTAGAAGGTTTGATAATTGGTGTTCCCTTGACATTCAATTGATTTGTTTTACTGTCGTCTGCACTTAGAGAGGTAAGCAAGCTGAAGGTGACCATGACTATGTTTATTTTAATTTGAAAGATGATTTCCTAAAATAAAAGCTTGTCTTATTTTTGGGGATTGGATGTTAAGCTGGTTGGCATAATATTTTTTGATAGATAAGCATCATTCCTGGTGTTCATCTAATAGATGGGTTAACAAATAGTGATTCAAGGTTCGAAATGTGGCTGTCCCTCCCCCCTTTCGTTGTCCATATGGACAAATAATTTGGTTTAAATTGAATGGTTTCAAATTATCATTGACAGAAGATTTGGATGAAGGCTTTCAAAATCGAAATTCACTTTACTAGAGCACAAAAGAAAAGGTGGCTTACTTGCTGGACCTGTCGATACAAGGTTTTTACCTTCACAGTTTGGGTAACACCAATTAGCAAACCTTTTAACCCTCATAGAGATAACAAGAAGACACCCTTGTTCCATGAACTTGACACAGATTAATAATCTTTCAGCAGTGTGGCATATGTGTTCCAATTGCAAACATTCTATATCTGCCTAGTTTTGCTGGAATTTAATTTATATTACTGGCACGTAATATGGATGTTATCTGTGATGCTGCATTGGCCTTGGTCAGTTTAAGATCCTGGCAAGAAAGTTGAGGATTAGAAGGTTTGATAATTGGTGTTCCCTTAACATTCGATTGATTTGTTTTACTGTCTTCTTCAGTAAGAGAGGTAAGGAAGCTGAAGGTGACAATGACTGTTTATTTTAATTTGAAAGATGATTTCCTATAATAAAAGCTTGTCTTATTTTTGGGGATTTGATGTTAAGCTGGTTTACATAATATTTTTTGATAGATAAGCATCATTCCTGGGTGTTCATCCAATAGATGGTTGAACAAATAGTGATTCAAGGTTTGAAATGTGGCTGTCCCTCCCCCCTCTCATTGTCGATATGGACAAATAATTTGGTGGAAATTTAATGGTTTCAAATTATCAAAGAGAGAAGATTTGAATTAAGGCGTAAAAAATCGAAATTCACTTTCCTAGAGCAGAAAAAAAAGGCAGCTTTAATGTTGGACCTGTTGATAGAAGGTTTTTACCAAGGGCAGGGTACATGCTGACCGGTGATGGAAGACCTTCATAAAGATAACAAGAAGCAGCTTTGTTCCATGAATTGACACAAATTAAAATCCTTGAATAGTTGTGGCATATGTCTCCCAATTGCAAACCATCTATCTGCCTAATTTTGCTAGACCATTTGATTTTAAGGACATGTGTGCATCTTTGGTTTCTTGAATTTTAAAGAGACATTGGCCAAAGAAAACATTGTAAGATAAATTGGTGTTATAGTAGGCTAACATTTGAATGAGTTAAAATTGGAGATTTCTATCAGCATGGACGTGAAAATCTTGGCTACCTGGTTTTGGAGCATGCCAATTTTGGTGGATTTATTTTCTTTGTACGTTTTTCTAAAGTTCACTCTAGGTTTAGTTGGCAATACCTGCTATTGGTAGTGAGGTAGTGAGAAACACGAGAGAGGGAGTGGTGGTGTTCAGAGAGGAGATGTTAGAATGGAGACAAAGATGAAAAGGGAAAGTAGGATTTGAGTAAGGGAGAGCATCGAAAAAGGTCGAATAGAGATACTTTGATTTGAATGTTTAATTGCTTGGATGATATCACTATGATATTTCTTCTATGTTCTTGGTTGACTTGGGATTGGAATGATAGTTTTGTTTTTAAAAAAAAAAGATTTTTGATAATGGAGATAATGAATATTACAAGAATTGTAGTTGGGTATTAGTATTTGAGATATTATGACCTGGAAGAATGGTTTCATGTTTTGTGTGTTATAATTAGATTACATGTATGAACTGGGAAATATAAATTTACAATAAAGAGTATGATGATAAGAATTTACTTTATATAGCTTCAAGATGATGTTTTATGGGCAGTGCCAAGGCGAAATAGTTAAAGCTTTCAACAATAAGAAGCATTTCATACTTAAAAATAAGTTAAAGTTCAAAAAGGATGGAAAAAGATCCACACTGTCACACACAATGTTATTGAATTTGTACTAAATATTTGGTTTGAAGGTGGAATTGATCATAGTCTAATGTCAATGTTTAGATATATTGATCATAGTCTAGGTAGATAATGTCAACAACAATTATTTGTCAACTATAGCTGGAGCTGATGCTCCTCCTTATGGCATTGACTACCTAACAGGAAGAGCCACCGGTCGTTTCTCTAATGGCTTGAACTTTCCTGACTTCATTAGTGCTATTTTTAAACTTCTTTTCTAATTATTACTTCAATATCTAGTTATGTGAATCTTTTTATAGAAACAAGTTCAGGATGTACTAAGATAAGAGTGTGGTGTTAGGTGGTGTTGATAGTTCATAAATTATAAAAGTTAAAAACATGGTTAATTATAACTTTTATTAGACTTGTAGATGTGGTAAGAATTGACTAATAACCATTGTATAACTACTAGGTGTTTTGAGTTATGAAATGAGTAAACGAAGCAAAGGGAGGGGCTGCTTAAATTTATGTTTGATGCTTTACGTTCTGCAGCGAGAATAATGAGCTATATTTGTGGATTGGAAATTGGAAGTATATATGTTGTGTTGTTTCAATTGATTCTGGTTAATGTGTTTTGATTCCTGTTGATAACTTGTATGGCCATCTAAATTTAATAATATTGCCATGTTTTGATTCCTGTTGTTAACTTGTTTTGACAACTTTCACTGATACTGTCAAGTATTGACAGGTGCTTCCAATTGATGAGTAGTACTTGATCACTACAAGTTGTTACCAACAAGCCTTACGACACGTTCCATGATGAATTCCTTAAACAAATTCATTCCACGGTTGACAACAATGAAAAACTTGAAGACAGTGGATCAAACAAGAACATTAAATGTTGAAAAATTTTAGGACTTTCATAATTTCCTGTTTTGTATTTCAGATTTATCTTTATTGTCAGGGGAATATTGTCCATCTTTACATGCATGTGTTTTGTAGTAAAATTTATAAAATACTAAAGGCAGCTTCATAGATCAGTTGCTATATT